GCCGCACCGCCCCCGGCGTCGGCCCCAAAGCAGAAGTGCGAGATCCTGCTTGCGTCGAAAATAGAGCCATCATGGGTGTCCTCGTAAATCTCACTCCCGTCAACGTACACATTCCAGTCGTTAGTTTCCAATTGCAGTGTCACTTGGTAGGTTTGGTTGGGTTCCCACTGCTCCCAAGACTCCTCAGCCTCGCCGCCATGCGGTGTGAGGACCCACTTCCGCTCATGGTTGTACGACAGCTCAAAGAGCACAGTGTTGGTTGAGTCATTCATCTTCACCCGCAGCAAAGGGATGGGGCCGCGTCCTCCTCCGGCACCGCGTGGATCGTCACCGTCGCCGCAAGAGCGAACTTGTTGTTCGCAAAGTAGTACGGCTGGTTCTGCCCCAGGTTCCCCACGGGCCACTCCGCCCCCGCCCCGGCGCCGCTGAACGTCACGCCGTTCGTAAACTTTGTTGCTGCCCCATGGACTGTCGCGTCCACGCAGAGGTACTCGTCCTTCCACTTGCCGCCAGTTGACTTCCCGGACAAAAACCCCACCAGCCCTTTGGTGGGAAGAGGGCCTTTGCACATGCCCTTCTCTTGCGGGTCGAGGTTTCCGCTGGCTTTGCAGCTTTGCAAGGCGGCGTCCAACGCAGTCCAACTCCTCACCACCTCTTTTACCTGCTCCAGCTGAGTAGCCAGGCGCACGTAGGCAAGACCGTACGAATCGTCTCCAGTCTTCTTCTCGTAAAGAGCAATCAACTCATCCCCCGACCCGCCGCTGTTGTACAGCAGGGAGCTCGCAGCGGCGTCATCGCCGGCGGCAGACACCGGCCCCACGTCGTGCACGCGGGCGTTGTCGGTCAACCAAAGATGCAGCTCCCCTTTTTCCTCGCCTGCGTCCGCCGAATACACCGGCATCGTGAGGAGCATCAGCTTTTTATTCTCGAAGCTTGCGGTGATGAAGCCGCCCTGCACGCCGTAACCTCCTTGACGGCTCAGTGAGTTGCCCCACACGCGGGTAATCGGCTCACCTGTGGTGTACCACGCTGTGCCGGCCGCAGTAGAGTCGTAGACTTCGTAGGAGCCCCCCTCACAAGAAGCCATCGCAAGGAGCTTTTGGCCGTCCTTCCACTCCACGATGGACGGGTCCCTGCAGCCCTCACCGGTCGTACCGGAAGAAAATTTCCATTGAGTCTCTGACTGCCTGAGGCGCATGGCCAGCAGAATGTTCTTTCCATTCTTGATTGCCTGCATGGGGAACACAAGCGTGCCGTCGCTCAGCACAAGGCCCGAGCCTCCGCCGCCCACCAGCCGCGTCAAGTATTTTGGAAGCCCTGCAGTCTCCACCGCACGGGTCTCACTCCATGCGATTTTCTTCGTTTCACCGCTTCCACTGACACTCCCCTTCACCAGCAAAAGCTTCCACTTACTTGCGTCGGCAACTCCACTGTAATTCCCCAGCAGCATGTAGACATCGTCGCCAACCACAAGTGTTGTTGGCCGCATG